TGTTTCGCGGGTTCACACCCGTTTCATCAATACCCGAACCTGAAACCTGACCTACCCGCGAAAATACTACGCAAGGTATTGAGCCATGCAGCTTGGACTCATATCGGCCCAAACATCTGTAGCGTCCGAGCCCCCAACCTCAAATCCACTCGACGCAGGCCAGCCTCACTAGGTCTCGCACACCACACGGGCACCACTCCCTCGATCCCATCTTGCACACCACACGGGCACCGCTGTTGAACCATCTACCATTGTTTTTTGTTTAAATTTGCTCAAGCTATGCTGCTGAAATGTGCTTGTTTTGCTGCTGAAATGTTATTCTTTGTGGCCACTATGTTTGTTTAAATATTTTGATTTTCTCGTGGGTGCCCCGTGGGTTCCCCGAAACCCGATGGGTTTAGGGTACGGGTGAAAAACTAGCCCCGCACATGGTGATGGGGATGGGGACGGGTTTAAGATTTTCTTGTGGGGATGGGGTTGGGAAGGCAAAACCCGATGGGTTTTGTCCCCGTTGCCATCTGGAGTCCTCTCTGCCTAGAACTGGTTCTCGCGACGACGTCCTCCGGGTGGCGACGGCGCCACTCTGCCATGGCTTGCTCGTCCTCCTCGGCGATGAGGAAGCGGCGCTGCTGCCGCACGTGGTCCGCACGGTCCTGGTCGGTGATGAGACGCGGCGGAGGGCGACGCGTCGTGCCTGCTCGCGCGTGAAGACGTCGGGGAAGTTCATCTGCGATCGGGGCCTGTCCAAGTGCCACGCCGCCGCGTCGTACGCGTGGGCCGCCTCGTGCGCGCTTTGGAATGAGTCGAGGCCGAGCCGGACATCGCCGGACAGGATCTCGATGGAGTACCAGCCATTGGGGTGCTCGCGGATGCCGCGGTAGCCCGAAAAACCCCGGCGGCGCGGCGGTATGGTGGCGCGATGGTGGCGAGAAAAGCGGCGAAGCGGCGAGAAAAAGCGGCGAGGTGGCGAGGAGGAGGGCGCGTGGCGGTGTGCTTTGCACGTGGCGAGCGCGGGATTTTATAGGCGCGCGCAAAGCAGTGCGCCAAATCTACCGCGCCGCATGCTGCTTTCTCCCGTGCGCGCGCTAAGCTTCCCGCGCGCGGTAAGTCCCCCCACCGCTGGAGCGCGCGAAACCGGCCGGTGTGCGCTAAAACACAATTTTACCGCGCGGGTGCGCCTTTTGCCACGCCTGTTGGAGATGCTCTTATGTCTCTCATCTACCGAGACCTAGGCTAGCTGAAGGGGAGAGAGAGATGGGCCGGCCCAGGCTCGCGGAAGGCAACTGCCTGTTTTTTCCTCCTTTTTTCACGTATTGTGTTTTTTTATTTATACTTCCAAATATTCTAAATAAATAGATATTACAAAAACACTTTGCATAAAACATTGATAAAACGTTGACCAAGCATTTAAAGAATGTATAGAGAAAATGTTTCTCATGTATATGAAAAATGTATACAAAAAATATACAATTTTTTTTAATCTAAACATTTACAAAAATGTTAAACAAGTATTTGAAAAAGGTTAATCAATCATTTCCAAATGTTAATTTTTTATAGAATTTTTTTGACCATTATTCAAAAAATGTAGAACTTGTATTTGCAAAATGTTAAATGTGCATAGACAAAGTTGGCCATGTATTCAAAAAATGTTAAACATTTATTTTAAAAATATTAAATGTGTGTAGACAAAAAAGTTTACCATGTTTTCACAACATGTTACAATTTTATTTTTAAAATGTTAAATGTGTATAGATAAAATGTTGACCATGTATTCACAAAATATTAAACTTGTTTATGATTTTATTATACATGTGTATACAAAAAAATGTTGATCATGTATTAGGAAAATGTTAAAATTTTATTCCAAAATTATTAAATGTGTATAGATAAAATGTTGAACATGTATTAAAAACATATTGAACTGGTAATTAAAAATAATGGATTTGTAGAAAATGTTAAATGTGTATACAAAATTGTTGACCACGTATTAAAATATGTTAAACGTGTAATCTGGTATATGAAACATGTCAAGCAAATTTTGGAAAAATGATAGACATGTATTATAAAAATGTTGGTGTTTTCCTTATTTGTTCTGACTTTCAAATAATATACCTGTTTTAAAAATTTTGTTCATTCTTTCCTTTGTTTATTTCTTGGTTTTATGAAAAAAAATCAGGAATTAATTTTTTTGTCAGAACAATCGATTGTTTTTTGTGATTTCGGTAAATGTTATCATTTTCGAAAAAAATCATAAAACTCAGCAAAGGTTCATATTTTTGGATAATTTTCAGGAATTTTTGACAAGGTTCCAAATTTGTTTATAAATTTAAAAAGTTTTCACATTTAAAAAATATTTGGTACTTTCAGAAAAGGTTCCTGTTTTTGAAAATTATTCAGATTTTTATAAAATGTTCCTCCTTTGTTGTATAAATCATAGATTTGAAAATTGTATGTGTTTTTAAAAATTGTTAAAACATTGTATGGAAATTTTGAAAAAAATTTCAAGAGTGCTCGCATCTGCCAAGGAATTTGGTTCTTTAAAGTTCGCGTACATCCGGCCGTAGACACACCTGCGGTTAGGAGTTCTATTCCTATTGGATGCACCCCATGTTTTTGGAAATTCACACTTAAATCTGGGGAGAGAAGTACATACTACAACCTCAAACTACCACCAAAGTCTAATATACAACCCCGAACTGCAAAACCATCTAAGAATCAACCCTGGATTCTCAAAACCGGTCAAAATGCAACCCCGTGACTGGTTTTAGCAACTATTCCCGGTTTTGACCATGTTGATCATCCAGTCAGCAGCCACGTCAGCCAAACTGGTAAAGCCAACTAGAAAAACAGGAAAACCAGTCCCGCCACCATGTCGCCCCTCTTCTGAAGAAAAGTAGGGCTCCCCCCTTCCGATTTCCATTAAAGGAAACCAATAGTACGAGCTACAAACATGACCCAAAACCAAAAGCAAACCTCCAAATGTTTCACCCCCTACTCTTAGACAACAGCAGAGGGGAGTAAACATATATATTGCAAGTTTTACAAATTATTTGCGACATGAACAGGAGCAGGAACAGGAACCAAAACAAGGCACTCAGGGCCACCTAATCCACTACCACTACTACTAGAGAAGAGGCACTCCGTCTTCCATAGCCAGCTTCAGGCGAGAACTCCGGATCCTCACCCTCCTAGCGTGGCATAGTGTACCTCCACTCTTGCGAAGTTTTATACACTCACTTGCTACATTTTCTAACAGCCTTGTTCCTAGCTCCAAAACCTTTGTGTTTTGCTCCTTTCTCTGCGAAATAGACCAAGCCATTATACAATAGATCATAAGTTTAATCATTGTACATTTTGTTATAGAAATAATCCCATATTCCTACAATTCCAAATATTCCAAAACATTGCAGCCACCCCAATCAGGACTAATTTCTTGTCCACCTGTCTAAAGGTTTTGATCCATCTCCCAAAGCAATCTTCAATCTTCCAAAGGTACATTTAAGTGTTGGAAATATGCCCTAGAGGCAATAATATTTGTATTATTATATTTTCATATTCATAATTATAGAGTTTATATTCTATGCTATAACTGCTATGATCCTGGAATATGTGATTCAGTGGAAAACTCATATGCACGTGTGGAATGATAAAAAGTTAAATAAAGGGATCTTAGACTTGCCTCTAGGACTAGATAAAGTGTTGTTGGTGATCACGTTTTCTGGATCTTAGGATGTCGTTAAGTGTAATGATAGTCCTAAAACAACATTGAGATTATGACATTAGAAGAACGATCATATTGAATCTACCCAAACTTGTCTGTTATGAATTGAGTTAATACCGTCTATAATCAAAGAGCAATCAATTGGGGCTAACATTATCCATATGGGACATTAATTGTGAAGATTTTTTCATTTATTACATATCTCAAATATTATTGGGTCATTAGTACTCCAATATTTTGGTAATAATACTAGGAGGTGGTATAGTTATTGTATCCTATCTACTATAAGGGTGACCAATCAACTAGGGTCAACATTATCCATACGAGACAATAATTTTGAAGATCTTTCCATTTATTACATAAGTCAAATATTTCGGGGCATTAGTACTTCAAGATTTTTGTAATAAAAACTAAGAGGCGATCAATTAATACAATGACATATTTTATTCCAGCAATGCAATTTATTGCTCTTATTGAATGACAACCATTCATTTCATGATAGTTTCCTAACATTATAAATATGATGGTAGACACATCAACAATTGAACATTTCATATTTCCATCATGAAAGAAAATCCATCTATTATTGTGACCATTCTCTTAGCATATCTTATTCTGGCCATCGGTGGAAAAGAAGTAAAGTGTATCAGACGAGAAGAAAATACTAGTGGGGTCCCATTGAATCAAAAAGTCAATAAGACTATTCTGGTATGTATGAATTCATCTTAGTATGTATATCTATAATCAGTTTTTCAACTATGAAGTTGAGGAGATGCCGAAATAGGTTGATGGAGGAGATGTTTATGACTGCATCGATGTGAATCTACAACCAGCCTTGAGCCATCCACTACTAAAAGACCACAAAATCCAGGCAAGTTTTAATAATCAATATATTATAACATTCATGTACTACCTAAGTAAAATGTAGGTATTCATGTCTCAATCCATACATGAACGATATGTTATTTGAAGTAAACAGTGGCAGATTAGTAGCTAATATATATAATCATGCTAGAAATTATTTGAACTTTAGTTTTTATTCTAATACTTCATAAATAAGCTTTCACTACACATCTAGCATTCTAAAATTTCTCTTTGTGTTATCTTTATTTCACAGAAGAGAAATATAAAACACTTGGTATGATCATCAAGCAAGGCAAACTACAAACATGCATATTTTTTTATCATATTTTGTCCTAAAAGTACATATGATTAAACTTTCCCAATTACAGATGGAACCAAGCTCTTTCCCGCTGAGTATTCTACCAAATCTCCATCGATGGAAGTCATCCCACAAGCCCAATTGGCCTTGATTGAGTGCCCTACAGGAACAATTCCAATATTGCGCAACAACAGAAGGGTCCACATGCCAGTAGAAACTATTGATAAAGTGATTACCAATGAAGAACATGAGGTGAGTTTTAAATATAATTTTTGAGTGATTCGTTTATATTGGTAGATTATAACAATATAAACTTTTCATTGGAGATGTTAAATGCACAACAATTTATTGCCTTGCAAACAACATGTCAAAGCAATAATTACCTAATAGCCGTCTAGGATTTTATCACATTAAATTCATCCTTTAGATGAAATATATGGTCAAAGGTAGTCAAATAAGAAAATGGAAATAACTAATTGTGTGAATATTTTTATACTTGACATTTTTGTTGCCACTGTAGTAGATGAAAATTTTCTCTAAATGTTTGGTCTATATTGACCTTAAATGCACCATTAAGTGATGTCCAGCAAAATTTTGTTGCGATATGATGTCAATCTTTCTTCTTTAATAAGCATTAGTATTTTCATTGTAAACAAGTCAATATCTTGTTTCGGCTTGCAGGTTGCAGGAGTAGAGTATTTTGATGTGCTATATGGAACGCGGGCTAAAATAAATATCTATAATCCTATGGTGAAGAATAATAGTAAGGATCTAAGTGCATCGTGGATACAAATTAATAAGATAATAAAAGCAGGTGTTGCAGATGGGATAGGGGCTGGTTCTTGGGTATATCCAAGCTACAGTTGTGACAAGTTTGCTAGGTTTCATGTTGCTTGGGTAATCCATAACTATTTCTCTGGATACACATTCTTCAATTTAATATGAATAACTTATAATGGTATAGCTTTTATTGACGTTGGAACACATTTATGTATAGGTTGATGGCTTAAAGACTTGCCCTGATCATGATTGTGGGACTTTCGTGCAAGTTAGCTCAAGTGTTGGTATAGGAGGAAAACTTAAACCAGTTTCTGTCTATAAAGGACCACAATACATGATAGATGTTACTATTTTCAAGGTATTCTCATGTAAATATTTTTTAATTCTTGTATTTTGTTTTGTCATATGAAATACATGAATTATATTTTGATGAAAACTTGAAGACATTGGCTAAACCAAACTTATAGGTGTCAAAACATTAGATAACACAATCTTACTAAGAACCTTTGATCATAGAAAAATATTTTAGCATAGAGGGGAGACTCCCAAATATATCTCTAATATTATGTTCTTGTTAATATGGAATGCAATTAAAAGGATAGCTTCACCTCGCCACAAACAATTGATCGATTGTTATTCATTTCAACTGTGTTGAAGCATTTACCATGAATCCTGATTTATTTTAGGATCCAATGACTAGACATTGGTGGGTGGCTTATGGTCCACAAAACATACATATTGGATACTGGCCAAGGGAAATTTTCCATTTCATGAAGGATGAATGTAATTATGCATTATGGGGTGGATATGTTCAAGGTCCGACGGCGTCATCAGACTCTCCACAAATGGGTAGTGGCCATTTTGCTTCCGAAGGACTTGGAAAAGCAGCATTTGTAAGAAATATCGAAATTTTAAATAAGGAAAACAAGTATGTTATTCCAGATGACAGGAAATTTGGGTATGTCGCCACCAATTTATCCAAATATACTGCAAATAGTTATGTTGATGGACATAGCCACTTTGGTGTGCATACTTACTATGGTGGACCTGGTGGTTTTGTTTGAATATATATGTAATATTATTAATAAAGTTTCCATAATCTAATTAATTTGTACTTGGACAAATTATTTGGTGATTTTATCATGTTAGAATGTATTTATACATGTTAGAATGTATTTATAGTGGTGGATAAGTTGAGTCATCCAACATTTTAGGTTAGTTTTGATTTCCTCGGATATACACCATGGTTTTAGTGCTTCTTTTGATCAGAAAAGTGTTATCTTTGATGCCGAATAAGAATAGGAGAGAGAAACCTATTAATTGCACTATGTGTGAACTTCACTTCCAGTACTGCAGGATGCTGCTAACACGAAACTATGATCAGAGACCCTTCGAGAAACTGTGTGCGATGCCATAATCGCAAACGGTGGTGTATGAAAACCGTCAGAAATGTATAAAACATTTGCGATGACGGATGCATCAAACACGGTTAAGGTTTTAGTTGCGTGTGCGATGAAGGGCATACTGTTCAGTTCAATTAACTGTTTGCGACAAGGAGGAACAAAAGAAACGGGCAACCAGATGAAGGTGTGTGCGATATACAACATACGTTTCACTCGGATGAACTGTTTGTGATTAGGCAACACAAAAGAAACGAGCAGCCAGATGAAGGCATGTGCGATACATAGCATACGGTTCACTCGGATAAACTGTTTGTGATTAGGCAACACAAAAGAAACGGGAAGCCGGAAGAAGGTGTGTGCGATATACAACATACGGTTCACTCGGATGAACTGTTTGTGATTAGGCAACACAAAAGAAACGGTCAGCCAGATCAAGGTGTGTGCGATATACGCATGTGGTTCACTCGGCCCTTGTCATCAGTGTGTGACCTCTGTGGCAACCGTTCGGTCCCCAGGCGGCTCTTCATGTACCGTGGCAACCGTCCACCGCTTCTTTGCCTTTCATTCCATCTCAACTGCTGTCGCACGCTCTTCCTCCCTCCATTTGCCTTCACCCTTCCTTCTGCCATTGTTCGATCATCTTATCCATGGAGGGAACAAGCCGGAAACGACCCCGTTATTCTTTCCCCGATCTGAATGATGACGTGGTGGAGGAACTCATTGATCGGTGCGACGTCATCACCTCGGCTAGCATGGCAGGTTCGTTCAAGACCATTCTCGACTCAACTAATAACATCATTACAAGGAACCCAAGGGTCCAAGAGCGGTTTGATCTCCCCTATCTTCTTCGTCGTGACCCTGCTGACTGGTGCAGGGACGAGGGAAGCCTCGCCTTGTGCAAGTTGATGTCGCTTGATAATGATACGTATGATGTTAAGATGTCATCGCTTGAGGGCAAGGCTTGGGCAGGCACAAATGGAGATTGGGTTGTTTATATTGGGTCCAACTGCGAGTGGGAACTTGTGAATGTGTACATTCATTACCGGGTTCCACTTCCAAAAATCTCATACTGCTGCCCAGAGGTTGATTACACCGGTATTCTACGTGAGTTCAAATATGATCATGGTGACTGTTGTCTATGGAAGATAGCAATTTGTCGAGTTCCCAACCGCTCTTGGGATTACACGAACTATGAAGTTGTTGCTATCTTCGACAAGCTTGTTGCCATCCTTACTTCCACGCCTCGATGGATATTGCTCAAAAATCAATTTCTATACACGGATGAGTACTGTGATGCAATTCAATACGAGGGTCTTGTGTTTGCTGCCACCACTCGTGGCACTGTTTTTGCATGGAATCCTGATGCTTTCGGTACGTTTGTCTTCCATCATAATTATAATTGTTTCATCCACATGCATGCGGGTTAGCTAGTTTCCCTTTACTAATTAATTAACCTTCTTGTGTTTCCAAGGTCCTGTGAACATTCCACCACCTATACTTGAAAATTTTTATAACCAAGGGGGAGATGACGATGCTGATGATCACGAGCATGAGGACGAGCAGGACCCATATACTCAGTGGCACCTGACAACTTTTTCTGATGGATCACCTCTTCTTGTCTGTATACAGGGCACTGCTGATGTTACTAAGGAAGTAGGTGTTGTCTCGCATGGTCGCACTCTCCGGACCTATTCCAACATCCGTTGCAGGGTATTCGGGATGGATACTAGTGTACTAGCGCCAGCACCTTCTCCATGGTTCGGTATTGAAAGTCTTGGAGGAAACTAGCTCTTTCTTGGACAAAACTATCCAATGATGGTGGAAGGCGATCCAGCTGTTGTTGACACAACATTAGTACCATTGATGAGAAGCAACTACGTCTATACCTCGGACATTGCTATGCTTTCCTACCGTCCCCATATGGGTCTTGACATAGGCCACTTCAGCCTGGGTGATCAGTCCTGTGTTGGTCCCGAGATTGACAGTAGCTGGCCCTTCCCAGAGAATCACTTCTGGTTCAAAGCAAGCGTGTCCAACGCCGACGAGTGGTTGAGCTGAAGTTCATTTCATTGCTTTGTTATTTGTTGTGTAGAAAAACATTATTTTACTAGAATGTTTTGTTGGAAATGATCTATAATCCAACGTGTATCCTCGTTGTCGTTGTGGGTTGTTGACTTGTTGTATGTAATCAATGGTACATTTTCCTATGTGTCCATCAACTCACGCCTGCTAGTGGTGTCCATATGAACAGTGCTAGTGATTTTAGTTGCAAAAATTAGATAGTGCTAGTGATTTTTAGCTGCATATTTTGACAAATCGCAGTGTTACAAGGTTGACAAATGGCAATGTTACTAGATAAACAAACGTCAATCCTTCCAGTTTGACAAATGGCAACATACCCAAAATGACAGATATGCAAATCTTACCCAATTGTTTGTACGTGATTGCACACGGGTCATGCAAAACAACCATTTGCGTTGAAGGGATGCACAAATCCTGCTCGGCACATTTTCCCTTGGCTTCCTGGGCAAGTTGTCGGTTTGCATACGAGTGTTCTAACTAAAACGTTTGCGATGAGTGTTTTATATGTAAAAACCATTGACGTTTTTTTCAAAAGAAAATCATTTGATAAGTCTGTACATCAAGAGAGAAAAACGCAAGTTCGTTCAAACCATATCTTTCATTCAGTCACACTGCGAATTTATATTAATATGATCGAGAATTCGAGATAAAGTATTAAACCCCAAAAAAACTATTTTTGACGGTGGCGGAGGCGGCATGCCGTGCCGTTGTTGTCGTTGTCGTCCTCCAGGATGCTGTTGTTGAAGTCTTCAAGGCAGCACAAAATGTTCTTCACTTGTAAATCAAACATCATGTCGTCGCGCGATCGACGGGCGGGGCGTGGGAGGACGGCAACTGGAGCCGCTGAGAGGGAGCGGTCGACGGAAGCGTCCCATGCCATTGAGGGGGGGCGCGTGCACGGGCACGGGCACGGGCGCGGCGGGTGTAGCCAAACGCACGGGGGCCAGCGCCACGGTGGGTGTAGGGGCGCGCACAGGCACGGGCGCTGGCGCTGGCATGTACACGAGCTCGAGCGGGTCCGTGAAGACCTCACTGACGCTCGCGGCTTCCAGCTCCGCGATAGTGCTCGGTGACCAGCCCGTCAATGCTACGGGGCTGGTCGCTGGCGCAGGCACGGGGATGGGAGCTGGGACGGGAGCGGGGGCAGCAACCACCGCGGCTAGCTCGTTCTGGGCCATGTACATGAGGCCCCATTCCTCCTTATTTTCTATCTCCTCCGGCTCGGAGTCAACTTCACCAAACTTGAAGACTAGTGGCAGATGATCGTTTTGCGCCATGGAATTAATGAAGATCTACGGGAGGGAGGGGAATGGGAGACGAACAGTAAGGCCACCCGTATTAAACAGCGGCTCGAGCGCCATTAATGAAGAGGAAGGCGGGCGGCCATGGAAGTCAAAGGGCTTTCTTCCCAGTGAGCCTGCGCAGCGTACAGCTCGCACGCTTCTTGGTGAGCATGTGCATTCGAGGACAGCTTGCATGCCTCTCGGTCAGCCTATGCACCGGACTGCGCTCGCACACCTCCCGTTCAGTCAAGGTCAAGCACCTGTCCGCACGGCACCTCCTACAACCATTAAAACCAAGACACGTGGCATCACGTGAATGGTTATCAGAACGCACATGGTTTGAATTCTACAAACGTTGAGATATTAAAGTGGCAGCTATTTTTTTCAAAATGCCTTTGTTGGCTTTCATTATTCGAGTGCGCCTTCTCTCAAAATGGACACGAAAAATGCCACAGCATGTCGGGTGCCATTCCACTATAGCATGCCAAGTTTTATGAATTTTAGACGAGTTTTGGATTTACTAGAATTTAAAAACCAAGCATCTCAATGTTTTGCCAGCAATCAACGGTACCCTGGTGTTTGAAATTCATTCCCATTTCTTGCATGGGACCTAAGCATGCACCCAAGGACATAGATTTGATTTTTCAAACAATTTATATGCACTGGAGCATGGCATGTAGTTCAAATTTGAATTATCCACATAAATGCATTGAAAACTCAGTTAATGCATAAAAATGTCCAAACGAACCCCGAAAAATCCCCAAAATTGACACAACACTCTTGTTCTTCTATCTTGACACGAGAATTTTTTTGAAAGCAATAAGAGGCAATGGATATCGTTTCGTCCCCAATGGTGGGACGTTCCGTACCGAAACCATCATGCTTGTTGTGGGAAGCATATACCCGAACCTGCCCCGAATGGGACAATTTTTTAGCACGACATATTGATGCTGCTCCCTTATAGCATCCCAAGTTTCATGAATTTCAAACGAGTTTTGGATTTACTAGAATTTAAAAACCAGGCATCTCAATGTTTTGCCGACAATCAACAGCACCATGGTGTTTGAATTTCATTCTCATCTCATGCGGCGTTGAGCGCGTCCGCGAGGCGAACACGCAGAAGCTCCGCAAGGAGGTTGAGTCCATCTCGTTCCGGGATGGCGAGGCGGTTGATGAGTTCTCCATGCGCATCTCAGGGCTCGCTGGTTCCCTCCGCTCGCTCGGGGACACACTTGAAGAGGTAAAAGTTGTTCGCAAGTTCCTGCGTGTAGTTCCTCCCAAGTACTCTCAGGTGGC